TTATTAGTTTAATTTTGACGATTGTATTAATAAAACTTAGGTACTGTTGAATTTGTTGGTGGATACATATATTAGTTCGGTACTACTGACTAACTCCAATATATACTGTGGAATGAAAACATATTATATATCACCAAATTTATATGTAGGAAACGTACATAAAAATAAACACGGAAACGTAAAGAAATTGAAATGTATACCGACACTTATATAAAAAGAAGTAAGTAAGATTTGTTTTTTTAAAGTTAACGAATGAAAGTTCAAATAATAAAAAACGTATTATATGTGACTCGACTCATAGCTGGGAATCGTATATAAAATAAGCACGAAAACGTAAAAAAATGTTACGTTGAAACATAGACAACTCGAATTTATACCAGACATGTACATAAAAAAGCAAGTAAGTTTTTTTTTATTAAGTTAACAAACGAAAGTTCTAAATTTACGGCGAACGTTGACCACCTGGAATTAGTTTTTTAAGTTAACAAACAAAATTATTAAGGAACTGTTGCGAGTGGGAGTATAATTATTATGGTAAGTGTTGCGAGTTAGCAATGCTATTTATAGGAAACAAAGTTCTAATTTGCAAAGTTGCAAATGTTGAAAAGTTGTTTCGCTATAGCAAGGGAGATGATACTTATACTTTATTTCGAATCTAAAAGTTTAGATTGAAGTATTAATCAAACTTAGTCATGAATATATATGTGAATACCATGTTGAAATATTTCAACATTGAAAAATTCTATATGTGGAAATATTATAGCAAAAGACTGGTCAAGTATCATGTCTTTATGTAAGACATTATGAATCGTGTCCCATATGCTTCAGATATAGGATCGATTGCATATGCTATAATATTCACGTGTTCAAAATTCCTAGGGCATTAAGAGGGAAAAAGGACTAGAACCGGACATGACTAAAATGGTTAAACAACTGTCAAAGACAATCTAAGGTTCGTTAATGATTGGTTGCTTAAGGATAGTTGGAAGTATAGTAATGGATGGACCATATTGACATTATTATGAATATACATAATTCTATTAATAATGCATTGTCATATGGTAAATATGGAAATGTTTTCATAATGAGAGTTGGATATTAAGAATCTATGTGTAGGTTAGAAACCTTTATGCAAGAAGGATGTTCAAAGGAATGTACTCTGAATTTGAGACTTCGCTTTCTTGGAATTGTTTTGTTATTAATCTCCAGTGGGAAGTTTAGTAATATGGTTGGCAAAGTCCCTGTGACTTTGGTACCTCGACATTACAAAAGATACATTGCATGATAGTTTAGAATCTAACACATACTTATTGTGGCAAGAATTAGGTATTCTTACACTAAGTAATAAGGATTTAGAATTGTGAAATGAGCATCATTGAAATGTTTTCAATTGATCTATTTCACAAAGTAAGGACCATATATAATCATAGTGTGCATGCCTGGAGCATGGGATAACTATTGTTTTAATGCAAGTACTAAGTTGATTAATCGAAACATTATACAATAAATAATGTCTAATCAATATGGTGATTAAATAAAAGGTGTTTTATTTATATTCAAAAGTTTTGAGACCATATTGGATTCGATTATTCTTGTGTTTCACTTTGTATGTTTTAACTTCCCGAATAATAAGATTATTCAAACCATCCACAGTCGATCATACTTTGGAAGTAGGTATTGAGGCAAGATTGTCATGAATCCGTCTGTAGATTGTCTAAGTGTTAGACATAACACAAGTTTGCTACACTATTCATGAGTACTCCTGTAATAATATTTGAGTATTGGATTAAACCCACGCTCATCTGAATCACTTCATGGATTTCAACACGAGTGATTGTGAGACGATAATATCTTATATTCTTGAAACGGAGACATATAGTTGCAATTTACAAGTCGGTTGCACATTGCTGATATGTAAACGTACCACTAACTTGGTGTTATAAAACATATTGTTATGTGGGATTTGATGAGTAAATAGAGCAATCATATGAGTCGAAGTTTATCCGTTCCTTTTACCCTAAGAGGGATAAAAGCGATATCTGTGGGCCCCTCGATGATTTAGTGATGACACCCTAAGTGCTTGGCCAAGCCTTGACTGATTTGATTTGTTCAATTAGTCGGTCGTCATAAATCGGAAATCAGGAAACAACACATGGACAGAGAGAATGATTATAATCCATGCCTCATGTCCATACGATATCTAGAATGGAGGAATATATGATCCCTTATCTAAAGGACGCGTCTGAGTTCGACAACGACTTTTAAGAGCTACGATTGCTAGTCGGGTTTTGAAGTCGTACTTGCAGTTATAGTTATTAGACTTATCCAAGTGGGAGACTGTTGGATTAGGTATCTAAGTCAATAACTATAATTGGTATGTATTTGACCCGAGAGTAGCATGGTCCTTGTGGGTTGTATTCACCAGGACAATTTGATAGGATGGATATTTGAGGAAGAGGTTATTTGTGATTTATTAATATATTATAAGTATAATATATTAAATCATATTATTTAATTAGTATTGATCAAGAATTAATTTGGAATTAATTTAGTGATCAAAAGAGACTAATTAAATTAACGGGGACTGATTATGTAAATCAGTGATACATATGGTTTGGGCTATTGATCCATGATGGACTAAGTTTATGTGAGAGTCCATGAAGAGTTAGTCCATATGAGTTATTGGATCATAAGCCTAAGTGTAAGAATTAGGGTTTACATATGGCTCTTGGAATTCTACACTATATATGTATTCCCTAAACCCTAAAATCAACACAAGTGTATTCCATGAAGAATATTTCCGCTTTTGGTGTGTCTAACCTCTCTCTCAAAGTCCTCCATTTTTTCATGGTGTGTTGTGATTCCACTAGAGGTGCAACATTTGAGGCACTAAGCTCTTGAAAGGCCAAAACTCTACAAGCTACAACAAGGAGGTAATTGTCTAACTTGTTTTATGTTTCAAATATCAAGTTGTATGCTAGTTATAGGTTTCATGCTTTGGATATTTTTTTTGTTGCATGTATAACTAGAGAAAACTTAGATCCAAAGCATTAGGGTTGTATGTGCACCATAGGTATGCTAGAGTACATAAAACCCAATAGGTGTGTGTCGGGTATGTCAGCCTTATTGGCTCCTCTGGTTGTTTACGACGTGTCGCGATACTGGCGATCCACCTCACCACTTTCTAGAACGCGCCACCTGTCTAATTCTTGTGGCGCCACATGTCACGCCCGTATTATGCCACGCCATCTTGACCTTTGGGGGGAAGGAATGGCCGACTTGCCACGTGGCGCTCTCTGGAACTGCCACGTCATCAGTACGCGCCAGGCACTTCACGCGCCCGGTTTTCCAGATTTTCGAAATAGTGTAACTTCTTCATACTAGCTTCGTTTTCGACGTTCTTTATATTGCCGAAAAATTCTTGACGAGATATACAATTTTCCTTTAGACCCCAATCGCTAATTCTCACTTTATCAAAAATTAATATTTTTTATAGGCTTAGCCTGTTAGAGATCGCTACAGAAAGCATAACTTCTACATACAGATTGCGTTCTTGACGTTCTTTATATCGACAGACTTCTATTGACGAGATCTTCAACTCTCGATTATATTATTTTTCCTAATAATCTACCAATCTAAAATTCGATTTCTGTGTGCATACTATTGCGCCGAATCTTAGGAAAATCATAACTTTCTCTAACGAAGTCAGATTTTGACGTTCTTTATATGCATGGATTCGTTTTTCCAATTACTATGACTTTCATTCAGATTATTTATCATAAATAACCTTCTATCTAAAATGTCTATTTTAGATTATACTTTAAAACAAAAAACAGGGTATTACAATATTAAAAAAAACAAGAACACACATTTATGCTTGTAAAAGTGTATCTATTCTTATATCAATGTAAAAGTATGTATTTATATTTATATAATACATATAAATATTTCTAAAACACACACACACAAACACACACACACACACACATATATATATATATATATATATATATATATATATATATATATATATATATACTTTTAATAATGTATCTATACTTCTAAAAGCATCTTGGATTCACCCAAAATCCTTTTTCCACTCATTTTTCTCCTTTCTCCTCCAACCATAACCTATTTATATCCTTATTTTAGATATAAAATAGTTTTCTTCTAAATATGTAGTAACACTATTCATTTCTTCAAATCTCTCTCTCTCTCTCTCTCTCTCTCTCACTCATGATTTTATACTTTGGTTTTATCTAATAATTACAATTTAAATGTAATATTTAATATTTGTAATATCATGTTATATATTAAATTATATTAATTAATCATAAATGTAAAGTTTAATATTTATGTATCAGATCCATATAAAAATTAAATAAATACTAAAAATTTAAACGCGGTAACATAATTTATAAAAACTTAAATTTGAAATATATCTTACAAATACGATAACATATTCTAACAAAGCATATAGTACTGACATAATGACTACATGCATTTTTTTACATAATATGATAACCGAGGATGAACGTGATCTTGATGCACTAATTGAAGTTGCAAAAGAAATGTCACCAATAGAGATCGAAACGTTGACAGATTAAGACCATCAATTTATATAATTTATAGCTTGATATAACATATTAGAAATAAATAAGCTCACTCCTGCCTACGAAATATGTTTATTGATCATTTATGAGAAATTTATTCCAATATATAAATATTTAGTATTTCAAATGCATGTGTAATATTTCTAGAATATGCATGTATAATATTTGTTTACATGTATATCACATCGACCTTTTAGAGATGGTTCGGCCCTTTTCCAACGGTTCAACCATTTTCCTATGGTTCAACCATTCCCTGACGGTTCGACCATTTTCCTATGGTTCGACCATTTCCCAATGGTTCGGTCGTTTTACCATGGTTCGGTCGTTTGACGACGGTTCGGTCGTTTGACGACGGTTCAGTCGTTTGACCATGGTTCGATCGTTTTGATGGTTCGATCATCTCCTTCCCAAGACAAAAAGTACTCCTGTCACCTCAAGTACAACTCAGGTTTACCTTCCCAATGTACAATTGTTAACTTCTTCTCCAAGGTTAAGGTATTATTGACTATAAACACCCCTCAACACAAATCATAAGGTCAAGCTCTAAACTCTCTCTACACACAATCATGTTCCTTTACTCGAAGGATCCAACCCCTATTTCGTATCAATACTAACTTGATTGTCGGAGGCCGCTTCCGGGGTGCAATTCTTGGGGCGACTCTAATGATCCTCGTTTGTGAATGTAACAGGAAGCAAATCAGGGCTCGCTAGCGGCAACGAACAACAAATCCGAGATCTCGACTCAATCAACCTCTTGACGACTTCCGGGTTACATCAATATTTATGTATAGGTGTGTTATAAATATAATCTTATTATTTAGTAATTATTTTTTGGGAAAACTGCAATAAAGTCTTTACATATTGGCCTCATAATCGATTTAGTCATTATATATTTTTTTATTCAATTAAGTCCCAAATACCGGTAATCGTATTCAATTTAACCCTTTGACCCGGTCAACAGGTCAACCAACTTTCAAAAATTACATTTTTTGCCCAGATTTCAAAACTTATTACAAATTTGGTCCAAAATTTATACTTTTGGCCCAGATTTTTTAAATTTTGTTACAAATTTGGTCCAAAATTTACCCTTTTTGCCCAAATTTTAGAATTTTATTATGAATTCATCCTAACTTTAGCTTTTTTTACAACTTTTTTTTTTCTCAAAAATTTGTTTCTAATATGTTTTTTCTTTATAAACTCATATTTATATAAAAAAAACATATTTTCAGATAAAAATCTTATATGCAATATCTACTTATAAAAATAGGTTTGGATTATTTGTGTGGTTTCTCTTAAAAAATCAATTAAGAACCATTTTATTAAAAAAATTCGACATCATGTTTTTGAGTAGGTTGTGATACTTTCCTTGTGAAGCTCGACTCAAGCATGTTTTAGGTATTTGAGTAATTTTTTTTAGCCAAACTCGTGTAAATTCTTTAGAACTTTAATTAAAGTATTCTATTGTGTTATTGATATTTATAATTTTTTATATATTTATGTTGCTATTGTGTTTTTGGTCATTTCTCACTCCCTTAAAAATATGTTTATCGATAATAAATTGCAACCGATATTCCATATAATAGACATTAAAAAAGAAAAAAAAATACAAGATTATAAACAATCCAAGTAAGAAGAGGTTGATTGACAATAAAAAATCACAACCTAGATCGGACACGTGCCATGAATGGATATGTTTTATTTAGATAATATATTTATTAAAAAGTTATAAAAAAAATATAAAGTTATGATTTTAACTTTTTTCTTAAAAAAATTCTTACTAATAAAATATAATATTAATATATTATATATATTTTAAACTTTCATATATAATGTAGTTTTAGTTTTTAGGTTGTTGATAAATGGTAAAAGAAATTTAGATTGGTTGGTAGTATTAGTTATTATTAAAAAAATATATTTTATATAAGATAAGATTATGACCAAATGCTAATAAATATATTTATTTAATTCCATGGTGTAAATATTGTAATTGAGGTTTAACAAATTTTATTTAATTCAAAACAAATAAAACGGTTAAAAGGATATATACTGTAATGAAACATATTTATTGTTAATTTAATATCTACAAATTCCACATTCTTAGGAATAAAATGAAAATTTCTATGAACTACAATTAAGAACTGACATTATTTGTCCTATAAATGTGATTAAAAAACAAATAAATAATATTAAAATGAGTGTAACTAGTTTTTGACAAACCTATTTTTATAAGTAGATACTTCATATACAAAAAACTTTTTAAAAAAAGTTTTTATATAGAAAATATAAGATTTCTATGTGAAAATATGTTTTTTTGTATAAATATGAGTTTATAAAAAAAGAACATATTAGAAACAAATTTTTGAGAAAAGAAGTTGTAAAAAAACTAAAGTTAAGATGAATTCATAATAAAATTCTAAAATTTGGGCAAAAAAGGTAAATTTTGGATCAAATTTGTAACAAAATTTAAAATCTGGGCCAAAAGTGTAAATTTTGGACCAAATTTGTAATAAATTTTGAAATCTGGGCCAAAAATGTAATTTTTCAAAGTTGGATGACCTGTTAACCTGGTCAAAGGGTTAAATTGATTACCGGTATTTGAGACTTAATTGAATAAAAAAAATATGTAAGGACTAAATCGATAATGAGGCCAATATGTAAGGACTTTATTACAATTTGTCCTTATTTTTTAATAAATTAATAATTAATTCAAATTTATTGTATATGAACATTTTATTTTGTTATAAGTTTATGATAACATAATTAACAATATTATTTTAATAAAAAAAAATAGAATATATATTAGTGAAAATCTAATTAGCATTGTGTTTGGCAATATACTTAAAGTAAAAAACATAAAAGCGTAAAAGGTTTATAAAATTAAGGGTTTTTAACGAATTTTATTTTATGTTATTCTGAAAGCATATGATAACAAATCACAATGATTAAAAAAGAACTTATAAAATTCTGATTTTAACATACCCAAAAATAATATTAGGATAAAACTGAGTTTTTATAAAAGAAATTAAAAATTTTTTTTATGTTAATATTCTTTTAACATAATTCGTGGCATCTATCCGAAACAAGACCCGTTTTATTGTGGGTGGAGCTCATCCGGTCCGATCAGATGACCTAGGTGCAGAACCAGGCAACAAAGCATTCAACCTTCTACGCTCGCTCAAAATTTCTGGTGTCCCGAGCCAATTCCATCGTCATATACTCATCTCCTTCGATCAATTTCTGTAATCCCTACAGTTGATTTCCCCAATTCTGTATTTCTTAACAAGGTGCGTTTTCTTTCTGTTCATCTACGTTGTTGCTTCTTAAAACGGCTCCTACTTTTCATTATATCGCTCAATTTAATCTCTTTGTTTCTGTAAATTATGTCCAAATAGGAAGCAATATAAATTCTTTGTCTTAGTACTTCAGTTCCTATCTAATTTGAGTCCTCCATTAACTTGAGAGGGAACTGATCTCAATTTTTGCCAAGGATGATTCTTAAAATATATGTTACCCTTCGATCAATGGGGTTTCAGTCGATTTTTCAATGCTATTCATTAATAATCCATACTTAGTCGTTCATGACTGTGTTAAATCGAACTAATTTCTGAAAAGGAGGACAAGGGCAACTATCATGATGAAATGAAGTATTCAATTCATATAATCTCCATTTCACCATTTATATGCAACTACAGTTCATCAATCAATCTCTAAACTTTTCTTTCTGTTGCAGCAAAATTCAATCAATGGACAACATTGTTGATGCTTTGAACAATGCTTATCTAGAATTCGTGGGTGCAATAGCTAACACCCTTGAAACCAAGGATGCTGCTAATGGCCAGGTAACTGCCGCCACTGATGCCGCCCTAGAAAACCTCAAACAGAGGTGGGAATTGTTCAGGGTGTCATGTGATCAGGCTGAGGAGTTTGTGGAGTCTGTGAAACTGAGAATAGGGTCTGAATGCTTAGTGGATGAAGCCACTGGTTCAGTTGCTGGAAAGCCAGGTCAGCCTGTGACACCTGGACTGCCACCTATCAGTGCTGTCCGGTTGGAGCAGATGAGTAAAGCTGTCAGATGGCTTGTGATTGAGCTTCAACAAGGTTCAGGATCCGGGGGCAATTTAGGGATTCCACAACATAATTCTGCTCCTTTTGATGCTAGGTTTCATGAAGATTCAACTCAATAGGTTCACTTTGATTAATCCAGTTACTGTTTTTTTAGATTGTTTGTTCAGTTTGTTATGACTGGATTAAAGTTTTACTTTGAATGTGATCAAACTAACTGTTTTTTGGATCGAATATAAGAAAAGTTGTTAATTTATATCTACATGTTTTGTTCTTTCATGGTAGACTTGACAAATGAATAGAAGTTTGATGGGAGTTGTACAATAAAAGTAAGCACACAATTTGATGACAAGTAATTTGAAGAATCATGAAAAAATTGAAGTATATTTGTAGCTAATTGCATATAGTTATGCCAATGATTATAAGTATTGGAACCCATTTAAAATTGAAGGTTGAATAATGTTCATATGACTCAATCCTTGAACATTAATAAATTGATTGAATTGAGTGATATTTTCTAATCTAAGTTATGGAACAATTAGTAGAAAATTTCACCTTAAATTGTAGTTATGTGCCTAACAAGTGCACTAAGGTCTAAGGATCGAGCACAAGGAAAACATAACCATTGATATGTTGATTTTTTTTAGTTTCTTTCCTTGTTAGGGACTTACTTTTTTAGTTCCTTCTTTGAACACTACTATGTTGTACAAAAAATGAAAAAAAAAAAAACGAGTTAAATAAGATTGTCCTTTTACACATTGGATAATCTGAAATATGAAGAAAATCTTCGAAATACCAAGAACATTACCGAAACACTATCTGAAATGCTATAAAGCATCACTACAAAACCCTTAATTAACGCTTTTACCGATATAATGTTATAGAGCATCTATGACATGGTACAGAAAAATGGAATTGCATCACTATGCATTTTTTATATTTATAATTTTTCATTTTAACAATTACTTTGTATCAAGTATTTTTATAATTGTAATTAAAAATAAAAATACCCAATCTAATGATTTTGTAACTTGAAGCAAATATATTATTCCCATCATAAATTAAATATAATAAGTACCACAAGTTAAAAAAGAAATACAAAGTTTAACAAATAACATATCCTAATCCACATGTTTCTTTCTCTTTTTTTTGCTTTCTTCTCTACGAATGATCCGAGACCACAACCTACTTATAATCATGGCCCGAGTCATGAAATCACCTATATTGTTTTGAATATTTTATTCGAACCTTTTCTTCGGATCAATAGCTTTTATGCCCACTATTATGGGTAGAGGCTTAACCACTTCATTAGGCTCCAAATAAAGAACAAATGAGACTCCTGTTGCAATATTACCAAATATCAACATAGTAAAGAAAATATCATACAATGCTAGTTTGCCTATGAAATTTCAGAGTGAAAACTTAAACTTACGTGGTTGTCAGTTTTATCATCACAATCTCAAAGAAAGACTAATTGTGTAAAGTTAAAAAAGATTCAACCCAAATTATCAATTTGGAAAAATTACTAGACCATAAATCACGTTTCTTACCAGAAATTTATCCTAGACATAAGGAAAACCAAGCAAGAATACATTCTCATAGACCCCACTTCTCGATCCTGATCTTGTTGATATGAGTGTTTATCTAATCAACAACGAGCTTCTTCAAGTTGATGATGGTGTCATCTTCCTTACACTTAAGACAAACTTTCTTCCCCAAACGATCATTCAATACCTCCTCGATCATCCTCTTCGACCTTCGTCTTTCTCTTGCAAATTTAATTGGGTATATTAAATGTATCTTCGAATTTGAAATCGCCATGATAAGAAAGGGTAGGGTTCGATTCGCGTAAGTATGAGAAGAGAACGAGATTACCCCTCTTTTGTTTCAATTCTCCATGTCCTTTTTTAATTATCCATGTTACACAAATTTTCTCATTCTCACCATTTCTCTATTATAAACAAAGAATAAAAACATTAGAAAGGGAATCATAGTTTTTTTCTCATTTCTTCATTTTCCATGTCAAACAAACAAGGGAAATGTATTTAATTCCATTTTTCTTGTTTAATTTCTCTATACCAAATACAGCGCTAGATGTATAACAATAATGCAAAACGTTTTGGAATCTAGATATCAGAGCCCAAGATGATAATAACATGCTCGAAATTTGTTGAACATGTACATAACACAACATTTCCAACTTCAAAATGCCGAGTTTTTATTGAAATCTGATAAAAACTTAAAAACATAATAAAAACCAAGTAGATTTCAATACAACCGCAAAAAAATGTATTTAATTGAAAATTGACATAGTAAACATTTTTTATTCAAGGGGAAAAAGACAAGTTTTAGACAAAGTTGCTAAAATTTTTACTTTGGTCCAAAAGGTTTTTGACTATTTGGACTAGCACCGCTGGCCCAAAATAAGAATTTTATTGCGGTTTTGGTCTAAAAAATTTTGAATTTTTTTTAAATGAAGGATTTACCATTTTTAATTTGTCTTTCCCTTTTCTGTTTTCATTACCCCACTGTTTTCTAATTAAAATAAAATAAATTTAACCCACCTACCCCACCCACCAATTTTTAACACATTTCAGTTTATAACAATTTATATTATTGTTACAATAGATCATCTTTTCTTCTTGGAAAATGCTACGAGCCACTGGACCACCGCTGAACCATTATCAGACTATAGTCGGACCTCCGCTTGACTTCACTAAATCTGAAAAACAGCTACAGCCACACTTCATCGGAGTCGTCCTACTTCGCCAGACTGAAACACGAATCTAAAAATAACTGCCACCGCCGACCTGAATAAGATGAAGATAGACCCTAGTCATTTTTTGTCGTTGTCTCCACCGCCGACGCCACCGCTAGGATTTCAAAAATCCTAATCTAGGAACCACCACCATATTGAAAACCCTAATCTAGATAGGAAGCGAGTTAGGGTTTCTAAAATGAGAAGGGTGGCGATGGTAAGGGATCTACTGAAAAATCCTAATCACTGTCGGGTCACCGTATAAGATGTAACATCTTGTTTTCGAGGCTAGAAGTTTTAGGATTTTTGGTAAAAATAAAGATTTTTTTTAATTTAAAATACATAAATTGAAGTTAAATAAATAAATAATTAAGAACAATAACGCTAATAAATCTCATTACTAATTTAATATGATAGGAATTTTGGAGTTAAAATAACATTTTTGTAGTGGGTGAACAATTATGCCAAATTTGAAAACTTGTGTTTGACTTGAGAGTTGATCAACAAAATGACTAGGACCTAGTTTTTATAGGTTATGATGGAGAAGGACTAAAACTAAGTTATTATAAGTTTTTGGCCAAGTTATGGACCAATTCTGAAAAGATTTTAGGAAGATGGAATAAAAGTGTCAAGTTCGCCAAACTTTATGTGATGCACCACGATTTAGAGGGCGAAGAACCGCGACCCCGACGTTGGCAGATTATAGCAACAAATTTCAACCTCTTTCTTATTCTTTACCTCCTCTATCCCCATTCTAGTTAATTCTCCCTACTTAAACTCGATGTTTTCCCATCAATCTCATGGAAACTTGAAGCTTTAATTCCTTGGAGGAAGCCTTGCTCAAATCTTTTCGTCATTATGTTGGAATGTAGTTTTCTTTCCTATTTCTTTCAAATTCGTTCTAGGGTTTTATGTAGGATTCCAATCCGATCTTTATACTCTATTTGTGTTATTTATATAAGATTATTGTTGTGATTGTGACATCCTTATTTTTACGGCCAGAAAAGACCGATTTGTTTATGCTTTATTTGAAAATCAGAGTATACTTTTGAAAGAAAGTGTTGCGGAATTTGTTCACAAAAATATGATAAAGATTTTATCAAAGCATTTCCGAAGAAGTGTATTTCACTATATTAAAAACCTCGGGATGTCATTGTCAATATAGATCAAAAGCATAAACCAAAACAACATAGGCCTTACAACATTTATTTATTTCTACTGGCCTATAATCCATAACCCCTCATCCGATCATCTCAACTATGCTCTTGTGCCACTACCTGTAATACAATAAACTGAGTTGGTCAGGCTTGGGAGCCTGGTGACATAGTGTTTTCAACCCACAATAAATAGTTAATTAGTTTCATCAAATCAATCAACCCGATTACCCGTTCCCGTTATCCTCACCTTACGTCCCTAAAGCACCTATTATAAGGGACCTCGCCTAATGATTTTCATCTGGATGGACACTACTGCTAAGGGGATTCCTCAACAATATATGTCTGTAAGGCAACCATGAGGGGGATGGAGTACACTGGTGAACACATCGTTCACAAACACCTACAGGTTGCGAGCATGCTAGTGTTCCACTGGACTGTCTAGAATAGTCCGTGGTCGTCATCTATACTCCGCTAGATGACTAGATCATCGTCAACATCGAGGCCTCTCATCATTTTATCATACATCAACTATTCTATCTACCCATGTTTCACCCAACATTTTTGTAGATATAAAATACATATACAGTTTAAATCATTTAAAACATGTATAAATCGTTCATCCAACATAGATATCAGGAACACAAATAATATGCACACATAACACGTAATTTATATTAAATACTTCATATCTATGTGTAAGATGAAAGTAACTATGCACTCACTTGTTAAAGTGGTGATTCCAACTTGGACAGCGCTTCACTTCTTAACAATATAATTTCCTTCGACGAAACCTAGTATTATTACCACTAGATTTTAGTCTAATATTTATCGCGACTAATTATTTGCTCTACGCGCTATATTGTTTTATAAGTGTTTAACAATACTTTTCAACCACTATGTACTGACAAGGGCCAGACATGAAACACCGGAGGGCAGGACCATTTTGACATTATAGTACTTCTGAAATCTAACAATCCTATGCGGCCCTTCAAACCAGATTCCCCTTACCGCAAGTAGTTAAAAGATATTATAATAACACTTGTATATTATATTTTATAATATATTTATTGTTTATAAGTTCATAATAACGATAATAAACTAAAACATAAGCTATACTTAAGGTAGGATAAGCATAACTCACTTACCGGGAGGTTTGGCTAGGAACCGGGCTCTGTGGGGGCAGAACTTCTGAGCCGAAAGCTCTTCTTCTCAGAGCCTTCGGGAGCTCCGGGGCTTTCCTCTAACACCTAGAGGTTACTAGGGCTTTGGGAGGGTTTTGGAAGGCTTAGAGAGAAGTTAGATATATATATATATATA